CAGGTTGAATTGTAAATAAAGCGACTTGTATTTCCTTAGGAAAGGTGTGTTTGGGTGAATGTTTCCTTTATTTAAATAAAGCATTCATTTCTAAATGAATTGCTGGCATGTCAGTCTCCGTAGTATTTCTTAGGAGTCACTTGACTAATTTTGGCAGTCCATCTGGAAATGTGGTTTTGTTAGGAGGATGTGTGATAATAGCAAGTGTGATAATAGCAAGAGTTAGCAGTCTTGTGTTAATAGTTTGCCTTTGAATTTAGAACTAGAAAACAAGATGCTGATTGCAATAATTTGCGTTTGTGAAGCAATTTACTGCAATCTTTGCACATGTTCAGTGATACATATTAAATGCATTTGGGCTGTTTTAGGGGGATGGGCAACATTTTTACCCTTCAAAAATAGTTTAGCAGTTACTACACTGGAAAGTGGAAACTTTAATTGTAATGATCTATCTTTCCAGATTTCCCTTCTGTGGAAGTGTTTGTGTCCTGTGCATAGCATCATAGCATTGTCTCTGTGCCTTCACTCTTGAATCATGCCAAGAATCTGACCCTAGTCTCTGGATTAGCACATGCCTTTGCCTTGGTTTATAGTGCGACCTTGGTGTGCCTGCAGGCATGTTAGTGCTTGCCAACTGTAGTTAGCTGATGAGGAAAATGCCACTATTCCCTGGTGATAGAGAAAGAGTCAGTCTCATTGTGATCTTCAAGATAAAATTATTCCGGGTTGGTGTTCACTGATGGCGTATCAGTGAATGAATTTGGTAATTTCACTGCTGTTAGGACTGGTTGGAGTACGCACCTGCCAGACTGCTGATTCTGAGGGCAAATGTAGGGCTGGTTAGTGGTGACCCTCTCCCTGCCAGCTGTCAGTCAGTGTTCACTCCTGAGCACCTGGGGGGGCAGGGCCTGGGAGAGAAAGGTGTATCTGACTTCATGCAAGATTAAGTTTTTTTTTTTATTTAAGTATCATTGATATACACTCTTATGAAGGTTTCACATGAGCAACATTGTGGTTACTAGATTCACCCATATTATCGAGTCCCCCCCCGCCCGATCCCATTGCAGTCATTGACCATCAGCATAGTAAGATGCTATAGAGTCACTATTTGTCTTCTCTGTGCCATACTGCCTTTCCTGTGTATCTGTGCTAATCATAATGCCCCTTAATCCCCTTCTCCCTCCCTCCCCACCCATTCTCCTTACCCCTTCCCTTTGGTAAGCGCTAGTGTCTTCTTGCAAGATTAAGTGACTAGGCTCTACTGGGAGGAGGAGGATACCAAGAAGGAAGTGATTAGAGGAGCAGGAGGAGAGAAAGAAGACTCTACCCCTGTCCTCTAGCTGGCCGTGTACAGCTCCACAGCCGTGTTGGGCAGGTGGGACTTTCACGTGACCACACATAGGAAGTGCTACATTTCTTGGTGTCATCGCTCACTCTGTGACCTCCTCTGCTGCTCGTCTGGTGAGCACTGTGTATCTTTTAAGATGCTTCTGTAAAGTCTTAATTGCTCCACCCTTGTATAATTGGCTACTTCTTCCAATGTTTCCTTCCCCCCAACTCCCAAGCAGTGTTTTTTTAAATAGTCAGAATCACGTATTTTTATTCTAAGAAAAAAATCTATACTAAGTACTTCCAGACAGGTGTCAAATGAGCATTTTCTCTCTCGCTCAGGCATATTTTGTTGTAGTCTACTGAATCATATTTGTTAATTTTCCTCCCATTAGGGTATGTTTATTGAGGACAAGAACTGACCTCAGTGCCTGGACATGGCAGGCAGGTGCTGTCTGTAGTGCCTGCACACAGAATGAGGGAGGGCCCCAAACATGGCCACCCAGGACTAAGGAGCCTGAGCTTTCACAGGAAAGTGTCCCTTGGCCATGGGCCACATGCCCGCCAGGTGCTGGCCCTGGAGGCTGCATCTGTGGGTGTGCATGGCAGGATGTGGTATGTGTGCTTCTTCACGAACTAGACTTTTCTCTTGGTTCTTCATATACCCACCATCTGGGGTGCAGTGGGTATTCTTCAGCTCCTGGCTCCAAAAGCCCTAATTCTGCAGAGGGCATTTCTAAAGAGATGTGTATGTTTAAATCTTAGCTCTTTCTTGGAAGATGGTGTATATTCGTAAATCCATTCAAATGAGGCTTTTATGTCATTTGAAGTCTTCTATGGCATTTAATGGAGTCCTTTGTTCTAAATGCTTTCCTAAGTTACTGGAGAAGAGGAATTGATAACCCTGTCGCTCACCTGAGCTTGGTCCTTATCAACCTCAGGCAGCAGAGGGCACTATAGTTCAGCAGATAGAGCCACAGAAGTAAGCTCATTGATGCAGTTTTTACACACGGAAGCTGCGGAGATCCTATCCTGTCTCTCTGAAAGCACATAGCAACTGTGTTAACACATTTAACCGTAGCCTTCTAAAATTTGTATCTTGTCTGAAATGAAAGGGAAATGAAGATACTTCCGTGTGAGAAACGCTGTGGGAAAGAGTCAAGTGAATACAGGTAAAAGTAGGCTAGGGGCCTGTTCTGGAACCCTTCCAGTCCAGCACTGTTTTTTTGACTGTGAAAAATGTCCAGACATTTAAGGTCATAGATCAGAAGAGAACATCTTTTAAAGTCATAGATCAAATCAGTAGAGAACATCATGTGCACTTCATGTAAGCCTGCTGTAGGAAAACAGCCGTGGGAAATGGTACTTTTGCTCTTTGATGGCTGAGAAGAACCCATATTGGATGTTTGAATTTCCAACACACGGGGGTGTTGGTAATATGGTTAACTCCGTTTAACTTTTTTCAGGCACTGCCAAAGTGTTTCACAAAGTGGCTGTGCCATTTTAATTCCCACCAGTATGTATAAGGGTTCCAATTTCTCCAGATCCTTTCTAATGCTTGCTATTGTCTTTTTGATTAGCCGTTCTTCCTAATGAATGTGAAGTGATAGCTCATTGTGATTTTGATTTGCATTTCTCTAATAACTAATGATGTAAGCTTTTTATGTACTTATTAGCCATTTATGTATCTTTTTTGGAGAAATGTTTGTATAAATCCTTGGCCCATTCTCAAAGTTGTGTTTTTATTACTGAGTTGTAAGTGTTTACATGTTCTGTTTGTAAGTCCTTTCTCAAATGAATGATTTGAAAGTATTTTCTCTCGTTCTGTGGGTTGTCTTGTAACTTTGTTGATGTCGCTTGTAGCACAGTTTTTTAATTTTGATGCAGTCAGGTTTCTCCAGTTTTTCTTTAACCGACGTGTTTTGGTGTCATATCTAAGTAACCATTGCCATGAAGAGTTACTTCTAAGAGTTTATAGTTTTAACTCTTAAGTTTAAGTCTGGGATCCATTTTGAGTTAATTTGGGTATATGATGTGAATAGGGGTCCAACTTAATTCTTTTTACTTGTGAATATTCAGTTGCCCCAGTGCCACTGTTGAAAATACTACTCTTTTGCCACTGAACTGTGTGGTACCCTTACTGAAAATCAATTGACCATAAATTAAAGGGTTTATTTCTGGGGTCAGTTCTTTTCTATTAATCTATATGCCTGTCCTTCATGCCAGTAACAGTGTCTTCATTTTAGCAACTTTATAGTAAGTTTGAAGTCAGAAAGTGTGAGTCTTCCAAATTTGTTCTTTTTCAAGATTGTTTTGATGATTCTGGGTTCCTTAAATTTCCATATTAATTATATGGTCAGTGTCACCTTCTGCAAAGAAACCAGCTGTGTTTTGATAGGTATTGCATTGAATTAGTTCATAGATCAATTTGGGGAGTATTGCCATCTTAACATTGTCAGTGCTTCTAATCCATGAACATGAGATGTCTTTCCATTTATTTAAATATTCTTTGATTTTTTTCAGCAATGTTTTGTACTCTTCAGTGTACAGGTCTTATACTTCTTTTGTTAAATTTATTCCCAATTTTCTTATTTTTTGTTATTGTAAATGGAGTTATTATTCTCAATTCAATATTTTGATGGTTCATTGGTAGTGTATGGAAGTACAATTGATTTTGTTATTGATCTTGTATCGTGTAATCTTACTTGAATTTATTTATTATGTTTAATATCCTTATAGTAGATTCCTTAGAATTTTCTATATTTAACATCATGCATGTCATCTGCAACTTTTTCCTTTCCAATGTGGATGTCTTTTATTTCATTTTTCACTTAATTGCCTTGGCTTGAACCTGTATTATATACAATGTTGAGTAGAAGTGGCAGCAGACATCCTTGTTTCTGTTCTTAGGGGGGTAACTTTCAGCCTTTCACCATTGAATATGATGTTAGTTGTAGCATTTTTCAGATGCCCTTCATCAGGTTAAGAAAATTCCCATTCCTAATTTGTTGGGTATTTTATTATGTAAGGGCGTTTAATTTTGTCAAATACTTTTCCTGCATTTATTGAGCTGATCATATGGGTTTGTCCTTTATTTTACATTTCATTGATTGATTTTCAGATGTTAAACCAACCTTGTATTCTTGGGATTTTTGTATTTATAGCCACAAGAGATACTAATCTAGATTTTCTTGTCATATCTTTATCTGGTTTTGGTGTAAGGGTAATACAGACCTCAAAGGATGAATTGGAAAGTGTTCTTTTCTGTTTTCTTGGAAGAGTTTATGAAAGATTAGTATTTATTCTTTAAATGTTTGGTAGAATTCGTCAGAGATGCCATTTGGACCTATCCTTTTCTTTGTGGGAAGTTTTAGATTACTAATACTTTTTGTATTAGTAACCATTTACTTGTTAAGGATCTGAATTTCTATCATTTCAGGAATGTGTCCATTTCATCAAAGTTACTAATTTTTGGTCATATAGTTGTTCATAGAATGCTTTTTAATCTTTTTTACTTCTGCAAGGTTGGTGATGTCCCCTCTTTTATTCTTGTTTTTAGTTATTTAATCTTTTTTTTCTTTGTATGGCTAAAAGTTTGTTAGATTTGTTTACCTTGTTGACCTCTTCTAAAATTGCTTCAACAATAATAATTTATTTGTCTTTCCTGTTAGGGTTGATTTCTTTATCCCAGGAGTTTCTGTGGTTGGTGGGTTCTCCGTATGCTCCAGCCCCAGACTGCTAGAACAAGACAGAATGATAGAATTGGCGGTGAAATATACAAACCATCCTCCTGCTTTGTGGATTCACAATCAGGTGAGCAAACTTCTGTTTAAACTTGAGATCTGGGCTCTGACTCCCACAGAATTTGTGTTCGGCTCATTTAATCTGCCTGAGAAACCTAGGCTTGAGTGAAAAGAGCATGTGCTCAGAGAGCTCCCCTGCATCCAGAATCCAGACTCCAGAGGATCAGAGAAGAAGAATCTTTGTGCTGCATGTCTTAAAGATACTTTGGGATCTGGAAGTATCTTTGGGGTCACCAGTGTGTAGTTGAATACTACTTCAACAGGATTAAAACATTTTACTTTATATTAAGTTTTTAAAAATTACCTATGTCCTGTAATGGTAAATCTATAAATCAGATTATTTTGTCCTAATCATCCTCAGTAAAGGGAATTAAGTTATCATTCTGTCATCATCTGGAGGGGAAACGATCTCTAGTTAATATTGCTTGTGCCCAGAGCTGAGCATCGAGCATGGTGCCATTACCTCTGAGCGCTCTTCACACTGGATTCTGAGAGGGAATCCACATTTGCTACTGACAACTCATGCTTCCCGTGGGACTCAACACAATCCTACATAAGCTGCCTCTTCACCATCTACTAAACTCGGATAATGAAGAATGAGCTCAGAACAGATTCATTATTTCTCTTCTTAGTTTTTCATCCTTGTCTACTTTTAACTGCTACCTCCTTCACTTCCAGAGCATGCCTGCTATATTTACCAGCACCCTCCATCCCATAGCAGGCATTCTCTTAACGCCTTTACCTAAAAGAAATGTACAGTACAAATACAGTAGGTATAAGTAAACTAATTTTAAAATAATCTGGAAGAGCATAGGAATTAGAATAGCTGAAAGTTTTGAAAAAGAAGAATAAAGTGGGGAAAATCCCATTATTCAAATTTAAGGTAAAATAAAGCTGCAGTAATCAAAACAGCGCAGTATTGGTGAAGGGATAGGTACATAGATTCCTCCTGCTTTGTGGATTCACAATCAGGTGAGCAAACTTCTGTTTAAACTTGGAGATCTGGGCTCTGACTCCCACAGAATTTGTGTTCGGCTCATTTAATCTGCCTGAGAAACCTAGGCTTGAGTGAAAAGAGCATGTGCTCAGAGAGCTCCCCTGCATCCAGAATCCAGACTCCAGAGGATCAGAGAAGAAGAATCTTTGTGCTGCATGTCTTAAAGATACTTTGGGATCTGGAAGTATCTTTGGGGTCACCAGTGTGTAGTTGAATACTACTTCAACAGGATTAAAACATTTTACTTTATATTAAGTTTTTAAAAATTACCTATGTCCTGTAATGGTAAATCTATAAATCAGATTATTTTGTCCTAATCATCCTCAGTAAAGGGAATTAAGTTATCATTCTGTCATCATCTGGAGGGGAAACGATCTCTAGTTAATATTGCTTGTGCCCAGAGCTGAGCATCGAGCATGGTGCCATTACCTCTGAGCGCTCTTCACACTGGATTCTGAGAGGGAATCCACATTTGCTACTGACAACTCATGCTTCCCGTGGGACTCAACACAATCCTACATAAGCTGCCTCTTCACCATCTACTAAACTCGGATAATGAAGAATGAGCTCAGAACAGATTCATTATTTCTCTTCTTAGTTTTTCATCCTTGTCTACTTTTAACTGCTACCTCCTTCACTTCCAGAGCATGCCTGCTATATTTACCAGCACCCTCCATCCCATAGCAGACATTCTCTTAACGCCTTTACCTAAAAGAAATGTACAGTAAAATACAGTAGGTATAAGTAAACTAATTTTAAAATAATCTGGAAGAGCATAGGAATTAGAATAGCTGAAAGTTTTGAAAAAGAAGAATAAAGTGGGGAAAATCCCATTATTCAAATTTAAGGTAAAATAAAGCTGCAGTAATCAAAACAGCGCAGTATTGGTGAAGGGATAGGTACATAGATCAGTGGGACAGAATGGAGAGCCAAGAAATAGTTGACATAAATGGGGCCGTTTGATTTTAGACTAAGGTGCTAAAAAAATTCAATGGAGAAAAGATATTCTTTTCAACAAATAGTGCTAGAACAATTGTTATCCATATGCAAAAAAGAAAAAAGAATCTTACCTAAATCTCATACTTTATATTCAAAATTATTTCAAAGTAGTTGTAGGTTAAGTATAAAACATGAAACTGTAAAAAGTTTTAGAGGGAAACATAGGAGATAACCTGAACTTAAAGGTAGACAAGTTCATAGACAGGATAGCAGAACCATGATACATAAAAGAAAAGATTGGTATATAGGACTTAATTAAAATTAAAAATGTTTTTTCTGCAAAAGATACTATTAACAGAATTTTAAAAACAATAGGAGAAAGTATTTAAAAATTAGATATCAAAGGACTTTTATCCATAATATATGAAGACTCTTTAAAGTCAGCAAAAAGAAAACAACATAATTTAAAAATGGGCAAAGGATTGACTAGCTAATTCACTAGGATATAAGATTGGCAAATAAGCAGTGACTAGCCATTAGGGAAATGCAAATTAAAGCCATATATAGTAGAATACCTCTACAGACCTGTTAGAATGACTAAAATTAAAAGTATGGACAATACCAAGTGCTGACAAGGATATGGAGCAGCTGGAACTCTGTCATATTGCTTATATTGTTAGAAAGAATGCAGGATGCTACAGCCATTCTGGAAAACATTTTGGTACTTCCATATGGAATTAGATATACACTTAACCATAAGATCCAGCAATACCAATCTTGGATATTTATCCTAGAGAAATGAAAGCTCTGTTCATAGAAAAACCTGCACATGAATGCTTATAATGGTTCTATTCATAATTATCAAAAACTGGACACAACCCAAATGTCCCTCAGCCAGTGAATGAATAAGCACTGTGATACATTCATGCAGCGCACTGTTACTCAGCTATAAAAACGGAGGAACTGTTGATTCACACAACAACTTGGGTGACCATTAGAGGCAGCATGTTTAGTGAAAAAAGCCAGTCTCAAAGGTTATTTACTCTGTAATCCCATTATGTCATATTCTGGGAGACAAAAATACAGTGATAGAAAACAGATCAGTGGTTAATGGGTTAGGGGAAGGATGTGAACATAAAGGGAGATTTTGCTGGTAGTAACACAGATCTATGTATGTGTTAAAATTCATACCAAAAAAGTTATACTGTAAGATAATGTAAAAAAGCTGTTTTTAATCTATAAGGGCATAAAAATTATTATTCCTACAATTTGTTTACATGTTGTGTCTGTTCAGAATAACCTCCAGCTGCTTCTCTCAGCATCTCTGTTGTAAATGTATCCTGTCATATTTTTACACTTTGACCTTCAGAGCCCTTCCTTCAGTGTGGCCTCAGCTGCCTCATTTCTTTTTATATTCTCTTTGGATTTTCTACCCATTAGTGTCTCAAGGCTGTCTCCTGAGTCTGTAAAATATGCTGGGGGTGGGAGGGGGCTAGCCCACCAAGGTGTCTGTGCACCCCATGCTCAGTTAGAATGAGCTTAGCCATCCTGACTCCAAGTGCCGTGAGGCCCCTCCGGTTGTTAGCTCCCACGTGACATGATCTGGTCCTGGTCCACAGCTCCCTGCTTGGTTGCATGCCTCATTGGCATTTCAGTGGAGGAACCTATTCTTATAGGCTGTAGAAAATCACCAAGTGGCATTGCTTGAATGCACATCCTAATTGTGGTGCTGCTCCACTCTGCCCAGTGGGAGTTGCATACAGCCTTTATGAAGTCAGATCGTTCTTGGAACCAGTCTCAGGTGGCTATTTTCCTCCTGAGGATTTGCCTTATTAAGCTATCAGAGTGGACAATAGGGGCATGTGAGTGTCTGGGTGGCAGCAGGCTGCTCTCTTGGGCTGTGGGATAAAGTGCCATAAATGTCTTCCTTTATTTTATCTGCTTTGGCTCAAGCTCCTGGCAGGGAAAAGGTTCTATTCTAGACAGCCATTGTTTGCTGGGCTCCAGTTGCTGCAGAAAAGTTATTTATTTCAAAAGTAGGAAATCTATACTCAAATTAGATACATTGCCATGTAATTGAAGGTAATGTCCTTTCACTTGCTTCCATTTTATGCTGTACAGTATAAATATTGTGTTCATGCTACCTTGGCAGTTTTTATTGATCAACAAAAGACAAAGATGGCTTTTTAGTCTTTGCATATGCTGGCAAATTAGAAGATAGGTCTGTTGAATATTTATTTGTTCACTAAAGAGATGACAGTCTTAAGTATTAGCTTCTCGTGGGGCACATTTTCTTACCAACTTGAAGGTTGAAAATACTCTGGTTTCTGAAAAAACAGTAACCTTAACAGTAAGCCTTTGTTGTCATTACTAAGTGTGCTGAAGATGACCACTGGACGTGATTCTGCCTCATGTCTTAGCCTCTTTTCCTTGTGGGTTCTTAGAGATCTTAGACGTGTACAGGCAGGCAAGATGGGCAGGGAGTGTGTGGAGGTGAAATCCATTGTTGTCATTAGGCAGAGCCTCTCAAACATAGATGGTTTTTTCCAGACTTGAGGAGTATTTCAAAGCCCTTTGGTAGCCAGTGTAGTGATTCCTAGATTTTAGTTACTCCTAAGAGTGCTTCCATGGTGCTCAGTTCTTTTGTTGAAAATGAAAACCCACTTATCCTTCATATAAAAATTCCTACATATTTAAAATATTCAGTTCTTGTTCTTCCTCAGAGAAAGGAGTTCCATTCATTTAACAGTTCCTTACCAAGAAGGACCTGTTTTGTGAATTCAAATAATTTTCAATTTTTCCTTAGATTTTCTCTGAGAGTAACTCTTCTTTAAGTTGCAGAGCCCCGAATTAAATTCATGTCAAAAAGTATTTACAGCTTAGCTGCTGTGCAAGGTGCCAGCGTGTGAATGCTAAGGGTTTGCTCCTCAAAAAGCACCTGATACATTATTACTCCTTAGGAGGGCCTTCACTTGGGTGCTTTATGTCAGGAATGTGTAATGGCAAACCTGTACTCCTAAAAGAAATGTCCTTACTTCTAGTGTTTTAGTGACAGGGAAGAAGAAAGCAGGCACCCCCAGGGCTGTTTTCATTCATGGTAGCCACTGTGACCAAAATCCCTCTTACACAGAGCTCAGCGCCAGCAGGGAGCCCTTGGGGGGCTGGGTGGTGCCCAAGGCTCTGGGGGATGAGCAGGGCACATGCTGGTTCCCATTTTCCAGATGCTATAGTGAAGCAACTTGCTGTATTTCATAGAGGCTGTGATTAAAATTCATTGTTATGACTAGATCAGTGTGTTTTTTGCCATACTACGGGTTCTCAACCCTGTCAGATCCAGTGCCCCCTTTAGAAAACTGTCCTCAAATGAAATTCAAAGTTAATGTAATCAACACATAAAAAAATGAAATGACGTAATTCTCTAAGTATAATGGAAAGGAGAAATGAAAGGAAAAGAAAATGATTCATAACCAAAGGCTGTGTGTTACCTTGGTATAAGCAGGTGGCATTTCTAAATTAGAAGGTAAGGTGGAGGAGTCACCTGGCTGGTCCTTGACCTGTAGTCACCGTGAGTGCACTGTCCCGGGGCTGGTGGTGCAGGTCATCGTGCGTGACAGAGGACCACACCTGTATGTTATCACCTGGGGTAAACATGCTTGGTAATGTTCTGAACACAAAGTACAGTCTACACAGTGGTTACATGCGGGAAAATTCAGACTATGTTAGACCTGTGGGAAAAACACTGACTCTTTTTGTAAAATGAGTTAGGGTCTAGTCTCAGATCATCACAAACTGGTTTTCGCCTATGTGTACATCCCTTGATCCTCCAGAAGTCTGTGGGGCAGTCCTGTGTTGTAGATAAATGGTGTGCTGCAAAACTGGCCCTCTGAGTAAGACATGCAAAGAAAGCCCTGATTTCTGCACTGTGGTACTCTCTGCTCCATGGCTTTGATCAGAGCACAGGAACAACCTCAGGAAAGAAAACTATTTCAGAGCTGTCCCCTGAGTCCAGGGCCTCTTTGCAACCCCATTCATCGCCTAAGAAGTTAACAAATGGCATAATTCCTGAAGCTCATCTCCTTTTCTCAGTAGTGGAGTGGCTATGTAGTGTGGATCACAGAGGCCGAGTGGCAAATGGCGTGTGTGACAGACAGATGGAATCAGTTCACAGGGCCCTGGGAAAATGGAGTGCAAGGTGTAAAAACAGTCCTAAAACACTGATAAAAATGCAGGAGGTAGATGCAATTGACTTTATTAAAGAGGAACATCTGGGTTAGGACCTGAGCTACACAGGACTAAAGGAGGATCTTTTCTGTCCTGCCTTAGTGCACACTGGACTCTGAAGTGGCCGTGAGAGTGGGTGGAGACTTCTTCTTTGACCCTCAGCCTGAAGATGCCTCTAGAAATCTCGTGTTGATTGCAGGAGGAGTTGGAATTAACCCTCTGCTTTCCATCCTGCGGCACTCTGTGGATCTCCACAGAGAACGGGAAAACAAAGGAAGTGGATATGAGATGGGAACAACAAAGCTGTTCTACAGTGCAAAAAACACCAGCGAGCTCCTGTTTCAGGTAAGGGAGACGTGTCTGTTGCAAGCTTGCTGTGAGCAAACTTGGATCATGCTCTGGTCCTGGAACTTGCCTCAGTTCTCCCCTCTCTGCAGCCATTCAAATGAAAGGCTTGACCAGTCTTACTGCTCACGTGCATACATATCAAAGCCTGCCACCATGGGTTACCCAGCACAGTGAGGCAGCTCTGAGGAGGCTGCAGTGACCTGACACGGTGGGGCGGGTCTCGTGGGCCTGGATCTGGACGTGGGTGACCATGAAAGTCACCATGGCCTGAGAGGCCATAGAGTTGGAAGACCTAGAGCTGGGTCCAGAGACCTACAAGTGGGCTTGTGTTGCAGGAGTAGGGGACACGTAAAGTGTGGGCCCAGCTGGGTGAATGAAACCCCATCAGTTGCATCTGTTGAGACTAAGTACATTTGACAGGAGAAGCCTTTCACACTGGATTGCTTTGCAGCTGCAGCGTTGAACAAAAGCACAGAAACAGTTAAAAGACACACTGTGGTCAGTGAAACTGCTGCTTAATTGCCAATGCTTGAGAAAAAGGAAAAAGAAAAAGCTCCCAGAGAGTTAGTAATATGCTTGTTAGCATATTCAGATTTCAATTAAAGCCAAATAGCCCTCTGTACTTTGAATGCTCTGGCCTGCTAGGCTGCAAACAATATCCCGCTAAGTAGAAAGCAGGAGCAGCAGACGTGTGCAGAATGGGAGTTGAGGTTCAGCGCCAGTGGTTGTGCACATCTGTTCTGATTTTTTAAAATTGTAGTGTGACCAAATATGTTTGACATTCCAGAAAAATATCCTCGATTTAGTAAATGAATTTCCTGAGAAGATTGCATGCAGTTTGCATGTTACAAAACAGACTACACAAATCAGTGCAGAGCTCAAGCCGTACATCACAGGTGAGTTCCCTAGAGATATTTTGACTATCTCCACACAGTCATTTTCTTGACCTGCTGGTTGGTTGACTGTAGATGCTTTATTGTTGGGAGTTGCTGGTTGGGAATGTCATTACCTGGGGAATGAGAAATGATTCATCATGTGAAAATAAGGAGAGACATAGTTGGATTTATTTACATACAGGTTTCCTGCTTCCCACATTAAAAATTTATTTTCCACATTTTTTTAGGGGACCTTGCATCATCACTGTAGTAAGCATACAAAGAATTTATGTTCCAGCTTTGACTGAATCGATTCCATTTGCCATTAATGGTAATTTAAATTACTCGTGGTTTCCCCTGCTTGGACGGATTTTTCACATCATAGTTTATTTACTTTGGTGAAGGCAGTTTTGAATCTCTACCAGAGATCAGTAAGCTGAGCGGCCCGTCTGGAGAGTGCACGCTGATTAACATCCCACTTGGCCTCACCTAAGTTTAGGAGACCTGGAGAGGCAGTCTGCTGGGGTCTGGCCCCAGATGCCCCCAGGAGCACTGACTAGAGACTCGCCTCTGAGCCTGCGTGCCTGGAAATAAACACTGCTGCTGATTGTGGCGGGTCCTTCCTCGTTTCTGTACATACTTGCTTAGTTTGGTGTTTGTTCTGTTTTTTGTTAGAAGGAAGAATAACAGAGAAGGAGGTAAGAGATCATATTTCAGAAGAGACTCTGTTCTATATTTGTGGCCCACCTCCAATGACGGACTTTTTCTCCAAACAACTGGAAAGCAGCCATGTTCCCAAAGAGCACATTTGCTTTGAGAAGTGGTGGTAGGAAGTGAGTGAAGGTGGAAAAGAAGGCTGTGAGGTCTGCTCTGGACAGAGCAGATACCACGTTTGTTATTTGTGGCAAGGTGAATTCACTTCTGCCCATCCTTACCTTTTAAGGCTGTGAACCAAGTGACCAGCTAGGGAAGAAAAGAAAAGCCAGTGGACAGACTTAAATGATAAACTTTTTGCAAAGACCTCATTGATAAAACTATTTTTTAGTATGTTTTTTATTAATAACTGATTATCTCCTGATGTACCTTGAATTTACAATACAGATTTTCTTTCCCCTTAGGGAGAAAAAGGACATATACTTATATTTAATCATATGAAAATGTGGTTTTGTTTGTGAAATGTTGGCCATCTTTAAATTATTTGACAACCTTTATGTCTTATGTTCAATAAATTTATAATTTAAATATATTCTTAATTTTTCTTTGAAAATTCTTTCTTTAATGTCTTGGTTTACCTCACTGTGGTTTGCTGCCTTGCTTCTTCAGACCGTCAAAGTTGGGTTTAGAAATAAATTGGTAGAACTACTGCCTTAGGGAATTGAATATCCAGTGTATTTGCTTAATGTTAACGAGTATCCTGAGTATGTATCCTGACTAATTGTTAGTTTCTTTTCAGGTGAAACCCTCCCTGTATTGTGTCTTGGCTGCCTGCCTTCACGCTGCAAGCAGGGGGCAGCTTCTTGTTTGGAACAAAGGCAGGGTGACTGCTGTGTTCCATGCTGGGTCTGCCTTCAGTGGCTGGCCTGGCTAGCTGTGGAAGTGTGCTTAGGGTTGATTAGGGGTACGGAGCCATTTCCAAATGCTGCTTGGCCGCCTCTCATTGCATGGCCTTGCCAGGCCTCTTCCCGGGACCCGCAGTCCCTCAGCATGGACTTGTTGAGTGACTGACAGAAAGCAGCTGGTGTTGTCCTTGCTGAGCTCGGGGTTGGTAGGCAGGGATAGAGAACGGAACCTCATCCCAAGGCTGTGCTGGGAAAACTGCCAGAAAGCAGACTGCAGTTTGCACCTTTGTTTAGAATTTCATAAATGTAAAAGTCATGGGCTAGGGCTCGGCAGTCCTCTCTAGAGGTGAAGCAGTCTCGGGCCCACACTGCTGGGCTGGAGAGCTGTGAGGCTGAAGGGGGGCTGCGAAGAACCCCGCCGAGTGGGCATGCAGGAGCTCCAGCTGCGGCCCCCTTCTTGAGCTGGTGAGAGGGGACAGGCTGCTCTTCCCACCTCCATGGCCGTGGGCCCTGCGGGGACGTCAGGACTTAAATACATCATTGATTTAGGGCCCAACCATGGTTAGCATCACCATTCTAGCCTCTGCTGTGATCTGAATTTTGTCAAGTTTTAAGCAGAGATCATTTGTCAACTGTTTTCATCCTGGATTTGAATTGAGCGGGAAGGAAGCGGTGCCAGTGACCTGATGGGAATATCAAAGTCCAGTTGAGGCAGTGATCACCAGCATTTCAGAAGTGAAGGGAATGAGCATCTCTGGCCGCTGTGTAAGGAGCTCTGGCTCGTCAGCTGGTCCCAGAATGTCCAGGCTGAGGCGGGGCTGGAGGGCTGAGTGCTTGGGGCACAGGAGATGGAGCACAATGAGATTCAGGCATGTGGGAGCAGCGGGCTTTTCTGCCAACTGGCCGAGGCAGCTGGCAGAGGAGGAGACACAGGTGGGGCAGTGGCCACCACGGGCTCTTCTGTGCTGGGAGTGGAGGGGCAGGGTGAGCATCAGGACAGTCTGGGGTGGGAGCGAGGGTGCTGCCTGCTGCCTGCCCACCCACCCACGGCTTGTGTGCTGCTGTTGCAGAGCAAGGACTGCCTGTCCTGCAGATCCCAGTTCGGCCGGCCGCCCTGCCCGGGGCTCACTGTTGGGCCGGGTGGTGACCTGCACTGTGGTTCCTCTCAGCTCTGTCATTTCTTGGGCTGAGCACTGAACAGTATTTTAGTCTGCAGGCTAAGAATGCCGTGTTGCCTTTGCTTGCTAGGCCAGTTGGGATCTTTTTGGTGCTCCAAGTGAGCTAACTCCAGTCAGGGTGGCTTAGAATGGATAGTGTGGTGGCTAAGAATGTAGACTGCAGAGCCCTTGAGCTAGACTGCTTGTGGTCAGATCTCAGCCATGCCCCTTACTAGGCCGGTGACCTGGAGCAAGTCACGTAACTACCTTATGCCTCAGTTTGCAGTTACACACACATGTGCAGACACTTTCACCTGCATGTAAAATAGAGATGATACTACTACCTTCTTCCTAGGGCTGTTGTGGGAGTGGATGTGGTGATAATCAAGTGCTTGGCAGAGAACTGCATGAGTGTGTGATTTGCCATCCCTTGTCCTATTCAGAAAGGATTTCAAGAGGCTAGGTAGCTTCCACTAACATGTAAGTTGTCTTGTTCAGTTTTGTGCTTGGCACATAATAGACACTCAATAAATATTTCTGATATGGATGAAAGGGCCTGCCCAGGGCTGTAATTCTTCAGGATCCTTCTGGCTCTTTAAGTTTGTGTAAATATGTTTCTTCTTACGACATGAAACCCTTTCACGTTCTACTCAAGGTAGACTAAGCTGATGTATGTGTTCGTCTGACTGCTGGCGTTGTGTTCATCTGACTCTGGTGCTCACTGGAAGATGGATCAGATGCTGTGTCCTGCTGCTGATAATGACAGGGAAGGCGAGTTCTGGTGAGCAGCCACTGATGGAACGCCTGGAAGGTCACTGGGGAGCTTGGCAAGGTGGATGTTAAGAGTGGGAACACTGGGCCAGGTTTAGGAACAGCTGGGAGGGAAGACTTCAGAATGAGTGGGTGTGGATAATAGTTTCAGAGAATTGTACCATAAAGGGAAGGAAAAAGGATAGAAGCTGTACAGGGAAGTGGGGTCAAGAGAACTTCATTTTTTAAACTCATTTAAAATTGCTTTTTTTTAAAATTTATTTTTTATTTTTATTTTTATTTATTTTGGTATCATTAATCTACAATTACATGAAGGACATTATGTTTACTAGGCTCCACCCTTCAACAAGTCCCCCCATCCCCGTTCACAGTCACTGTCCATCAACATAGTAAGATGCTGTAGAATCACTACTTGTCTTCTCTGTGTTGCACAGCCCTCCCCGTGCCCCCCCAACACTATACATGCGAATCGTAATGCCCCCTTTCTTTTCTTCCTGCCCTTATCCCTCCCTTCCCACCCGTCCTCCCCAGTCCCTTTCCCTTTGGTAACTATTAGTCCATTCTTGGGTTCTGTGCTTCTGCTGCTGTTTTGTTCCTTCAGTTTTCTTTTGTTCTTATACTCCATATATGAGTGAGATCATTTGGTACTTGTCTTTTTCCGCCTGGCTTATTTCACTGAGCATAATACCCTCTAGCTCCATCCATGTTGTTGCAAATGGTAGGATTTATTTTCTTCTTATGGCTGCGTAATATTCCATTGTGTATATGTACCACATATTCTTTATCTAATCATCTACTGATGGACATTTAGGTTGCTTCCATATCTTGGCTATT